AAGAAACAACTATTATCTCTGTTCCAGATATTCGCCAGCGTGTAGGGAGAGCGGGAACTGTTCGTGGAGTCTTCCGTCTGAATGGTAAAGGCTCCTTCTCTCGTGGCGTCCATCTCAACCTTATAAATGCCTGCTCACTCGTGGACTTTCGAGCGGTTTCGTCGACGCTGAGCACGCTTCGCAGCAACGATTTACATTCCGTGTGACGGTTTGGAGCGGAAACCTTGACGATGCGCGTTTCGTGGTTGGAAATCTCCTGCAACTGCGCGCGATTGAGAAAGTGGATCTCTGGAACGGGGTTCTGTGCGGGTCCTGCCACCGCGAAGACATCGAAGTGATCGACGATACTCATCTTATCGGACTTGGTATGCAGGAGAACGCTGCTGCTCCATAGAACGACCCATGATGGCGCAGCTATCGAAGCAAAACTGGGGTGATGCAGAAGTAGTGATAACGAAGTAGGACATATTGAAAACGAAACTAGTAGGAGCATACCGTAATGACTTAGGAACTACATAGTGAGACTACGGTGGTTGGTGTGATAATGCAAGTAAACAGTCCGGTCCGCATGTTCTGCAGGATGATGAAGTTGCTTGCGTGGCAAGCGTATCCGGCAAAGTGCGTTAGGCTAACATTCGAGCGATACCAATTCAAATGGAGCGTTTGTAATTATTAATTAACTTGCAATAAAATCCAGAGCTTCCACGTGCTTATGCACGGTTTAGTATTATTTTGTTATAGTACAGACGATATGGTTAAGTTAACTAGAGACACTGGATCAGATATTTCTGTATAGAGCTATTTAATATGGACCGTGTTACAGTCCCCAACGAGATTGCATAGCCTGGGCTTTTTTCCCAACGGATTCACCAATGCTCACCAATACGTTAGTGTTTTCGTTTGGCTGTTACCAACACATCACCAACAGAATATATTACCCTTCTTAAGTACGTATTTTATTCAACTAAGTACGAACCAATTCTCTACGTTCGTGGCGTCTGTAGAGATTTTTATGTTACCGGAATGTTGTCCGAGTGTAGAGAAGACTTGGCGAAAACTTGATCGCTCGTCAAAATGACAGGTCAGCTGAACAGGTTTGGCGGTAGGACACGCACAATGCAAGGCAAGTTGGAGTGCGCTGTGAGGTGAAGATAACAAGCAAAACGATGTGTATTGTGTGTAGCTAAGGGGTTTCCTCTGTGGTTGCTGCGGCAGCATCACTGTTGCGGAAAAATCCGCCTTTGCTAGTCAAAGACTGGTATCTGAAGCGTAGATATAGGATGACTTCCAGCGACACATTCGGCACTGGAAGACCTCGCACTCGAAAAAAAAGCAGCATCAGCGTGGATGATTGGACGGGTGCAGAGTGTTGGTGATTGGATGACCTCAATGATTGGATGCAGAATAGGTAGTGAGAGTAGTGTAAACTCCGATAAATCAATCACTTCAGAATCTTCCTTCTTCCCCTCAAGTGGTCTTCGCTCCGGTCTTCCTCTCCGAGTGGCTCCGAGTGGTGACTCACCCCCTTCGCTCCTACAAGCTCTTCCAAGATCCGTGACCACTATCAAAGGGGGGGGGGGGGATTCTGAAATAAAAGGCTCTCACAACCGCGCCTGATTTTTTTTTTAAATTATTTTTTTTATAACATTTTTAGAGGTAGGTATTTTATCCCATCATAATTTACGTCCTCCGTTAAATTACGACGGATTTTCGTTGGGGAACACTAATCACTTCCATTTAATATTAAAATACCTATAAAAAAGACCAGAATTTAGGGTATGGGCTTAACTTTTTTTATGATTGGTCCGCCCGCGATTGGATACACTTCGCACCAGCCGCGTTCGCTGTACTTGCGCGCAAGCAGAAAAATAAGACCATCATCCAAACAACAGCGAAACGCCCTTTTCTAGTGGTGCGACGGCCTGGAACCTCACGTGCGACACAGTGTCGGCTTAATCGATGTACCTCTTTATTAGGTTAGATTTAGTGTGACGTAATGAATAGTTTATTTATCATTTCATTCAGAATGAATTTTTCTGCAGAATATGCCGGTGAAACCTGCCTACATGACGTTGGCTGCCTCGGCAATCTGTGGTAACACCGGCGATGGCCTCGTCAAGGCCTCCAGATCAACCATACGAGCTCTGTGAGAAGTGCTGTGAGTGGATTAGCGGTGACCGGGATCATCTGGCCCGTCACCAGAGGTCGTCACAGTGCCACTCACCTGTAGAGCGCGTTGAGCATCTTGGCCGCGTGGTTGCGCAGTCCATCAACTATCTTGGTCGTTTCGAGGTCGGCTATGGCGCGATGGTGGACGTGGCCAAGACGCATGTGCCAGTCATCAATGGTATTCATTGTGGCTGCTGCAAGTGCAAGGACCGGAGATGCCGGAGCTTCGGGCCGAACTACATAGATTCCGTTGGGAAGGTGGCCGTATACGTACGGTTGCCCGTGTACGACGCAGCCATCCGCACTAAAGTCGCACCTGTGCCCTTGGTGAACAAGTGCCGACACTGAGATCAGCGTTCGCTCCAGCCCGGGCATGTGGAGGACCTCAGTGAGGACAATGTCACCAATCTGCAGTGATCCGGTCGTGTTGGCTCTAATTCGTCGACCATCCGCCGCTGTTATCGTTACAGTGGGAATAGTAGTGATGTCTTGGAGTTCGTTGCGCCGTCCAGTCATGTGGAAGGAGGCGCCGCTGTCCAGTACAGGGGTGTCGAAGGAAATGCCTGGGTCGAACGTAAAGAAGGCAGTTCCCAACGGCACCCGTGACCGTCAGGTTGACTTAGACTTGGTCTCTTCGATCTTCGGATCAGCATCGGAGGTGGGTGGGTGTGGTTTCGTTTCAGGTTCATCGACAATCTCCACTCGGCGTGCACTTCCATTGTTCGGTTGGTTGTGTCGCCCCCCCACCGTTCTGCTGTTGTCCGCCTTGCTGGTTGTGCTCTCTGTTGCCAGTGTACACCCACGGTGCGCGTTTACGGCCTCGTTGGTCGTCGTCCTTTGCATTGTTCGAGCTTGACTCGTCGCGCGTTCGCTTTCCGTTCACTGGGCCGTCATTCCGATTCAGTTGGCCAGGTTGGACACGGCCATCGCCACCGAAGTGCTCAGCGAGCATTTCACATAGGTCTAGCGTCTTGTTCCAGAGGGTCTTCACATCATCGAATCGTCTGTACTTCGTTATCAGGTCATT